GTAACTGTGGAAATTCTGTGTATTACAAAAAGTTGTATCGAGAAAGAATAAACTAGTTTTAATCAAGAAGAGACTTGTATCGCTGAAGTTTCTCGGAAAGAATTTTACCGGAAATTATCAAACAGCAGATACGTAACAGTACTTAAGTATTCTTAATACACATATTGTTACTATAATATAATTAATTTGTAGAAACGTTTTCATAACACATTTATTTAGATTTAATTTTCAAATGGAAAACCAATTAGCATTTAACATCATATAACGGGCATTCAGCTAGTTTTGAATAAAAGAAAGAAAACAAGCTTGATCACATTTATGGTTAAGTCAAAAAGTTGTGTAAGAATTTATCAAGAGGGCACTGACGATATGTATATTACACGCATGCAGGTCTGACTTGTACGTATGCTTATCGTAAGTGTTACAGTTTCGAGGCGTGAGGGTTTGTAGTTTTATTTTACTTTACTTTCACAAAACGTAATCTATTCTGGTAGATAATTTTTACTGTGTTAAGTTATTAGCAAACAATCATAACGCACGCTTATTCTTTTCTTTGCTATCTGTCTGCATAAAACTTCAGAAGTATGCACGAGTACAGATTATTACCATTAGTATTAATATAGTAAAAATTAAAAGTATAAATTATACTATAAGTATTACTACTAGTACTAATGTTCTTTCTATATTACTAGTTTTATTATATTTATTGAAATTGTTACTAGTATTGCTAATACTGATAGTAGTATTTTTTACGGAGAATAATAAAATAACGTAATATTACTTATTTAGTTGTTACTAATATTAGGAATATCAACGAGGTAAAACCTGATCTCGGTTGTCAGGATAAGCAGTAACTGGAAGTGAAACTGAAAATGATATTGTCACTGTGAGAGCAACGTTAAGCAAGAAGTCCAAATTTCGAATGTTTTAAGAAGTTTCTTAGGTCTGTTTTCTTTTCTTTTTTGTTTTTAATAACGTCATAACTTATTTTTACCGTCAGTATTGATATTACGGGAATCATTAGAATAGGAAATTTGGAATTGGTTGAAATACTGACATTGTAAAACTAATTTAAAAACTAAACAGAACTTCAAATGAGTCATACTCCTAACTCAGGCCCCTCAGTCTTAAAGAGCATCAGATCTTACAAGATGTCTTTATTAAGCTGAGTTCATAAGGGGTTGTTGATGACATTCTGCCATTGCTGTTGACATGCTGAATGTTACTATCATCTCTACCAACTTCAAAATATTGCTGAGAGCAGAAGATTTTGTTGACAGCATGTATGAGTATTCTGACAGGATTGCCTAATTTTTGTGCTTGAAACATTTCATGTGTGCTTTTAGTCACTAAATTCCTCCACAATTTCTGCCACTTTTTCCCCCTCGTGAAAAGGACATCAAAATGGACTAGAAATTGTCCAATTTCAGATTTACCATATGAACTGAGCTCTCCTCTACTTTTCTGGCTAAAATGTGTAACAAGAAACAGTGAATGCTTGAGCTAGCATGCAGTTGAAATTAGAAGACAATGTACTTGATCTTTCTGTCAGTTAGTTTAACATTACTTGTTAAACTGGCTTCTGAGGGCCAGTGACCAGATAACTTTATCTCGGCTGAATCGTCCCCAAACTTTCTTTTGAGTGGCAAATCCTAATAAACTGCTGCATGTGTACACTCAAGTCTTTCTGCAGTTTTTACTAATCTTAAGACACACTGTACCATTGCAGGCTGGACATGTATCAACAGTAGGTCATAAGACTGAAAGAATTCTGAAAGATGTGATACTGGCTCTAAGATATCTTGTAGATTATAGAGTTTTGATGAAATTGACACTAGTAATTTCATTGAGGACCTTCCTTGCCTTAGCTGCTGACTCGCCACTGCTAACTTGATCTAAATGCAAAACCACAACCTGCAGGTTTTTTTCCACAGTGTTTAAAGCTATTGCTTTGTTGAGACCCATTACGCCTGTTTCACATTAATGTAGTGGGCAAAATTTTCATATATAACCCTTGCAGTTTCTTTTGTGCATCTTCTTCTTGTGCTATGCCAGTAAAAGTGAAAAATCCATTTCAAAGTTTCTTCGAACTGACCAGTTTAAGGTAAGAAATTCCAATGCATTTAAAACAATATGAATTCTTAAACAGCATTCTTTTCCAACCTTCTTCAATTTGTACTTAGCCTGCTCAATAAGGGGTTGCCTCCCCCTAGTCTGAGCCATAGAACTAGAAGTCACTGTCTCCATAGCAACACTGTCTGATTTTGTATTTTCATGACTGTACCATATCACACATGCCATATGAATTTTGCTGGTTTTGTATGCTTTGATTCGGTCAATACACAACTGATTCAAGAAAGCATTCCTGCCTGCTCCAGTGACTAGCTGCTATTGTAGGGTATTTCTGGCACACCTCACAATATATTTTGGAGACTGGTTTTCCCTGGGACTGGCTTTCCTTAAGAACTAACCATGGTCATGTATCTTTCAATGTGACTGAAAATTTTTCTTCTTCATTTGTTTGTAGCAGAGAGTTGACTGCTGCTATTATTAAATTAGCATCATCACTGGTATGTGGTCTACAGGGCTCTTTCAAAATACCCTGAGACATGATTAACCTTTTCCACTTAAGATGAGTTTCAATGTTTTGGGCTGCACTTAACATATAACATAATGTTTAGAGACTACAAGGGACTTATTGGTCTGTCTAGGCTGTCCCATCCTCTAAACTAAACTAAAACTATTAAGTAAAAAAGAAATAAACTTCAAAGCCAACTCTTATCATTCATATAGTTATCAAGCTTTGTCTTAAACTTGCTTAAATGTACTACCTCCACAACATCCAAAGGCCACCCACCTTGTTAGAAAAATAAAACTGCTTTAACTGAAGGTAACTCCTACTCTGTCAAAATTTATATGTGTCCCCTAGTCTTACCACTCTCACTACTGAGTATGAAAAAATGATGCATCAACACTATCGATTCCCTCAACATTCTTAAACACCTCAATCAGATTCCCTCTAACTCTTTTTTTTTTTCTTCCAAGATTAAACAACTTCAAATATCTTAACATCTCTTCATATGACAACTCCTCCATCCCAGGCACCATTCTAGTAGTAGTCCTCTGAACCCTTTCCAGCAATTCAATGTCTTTCCTAAGGTAAGGACTCCAAGGCTGAAAGAAATACACCAGATGTGATACATACAATGAAATTATAACCTTTTTAGACCTGTATTCACTATTTCTGTAGACACAACCTAACATCCTATTAAAAGGCATAGCAACCTATGTCAAGCAGCAATTGAGTACAAAGGTCATAACTGGAAGAGATAATAATTTGCTTTACTTCTTTATTTACTGTTTTATGTTTTAAAAAAAAATAAGTTTAAGAAGTTATTTCTACATAATAATAATAATCTATATACTTATATAATGTATAATAATTGAAATGTGACAGTATTTTGTAAATACTAGACTACTAATACACAGCCAAGACAAGTCACTTTGTATAAACTAAAGGTCAGTTTTATATTATTGGATACCGTAACATGAGAGCAAGTGTGCTATGTCATTGTAACATCTGTATTGTTAGCCAGGTACAGCTGAAAGATCAATATAATAAAAAAATATATATATAAATATAAATATATAATGTTATGAGATATAAGCTATTCAGTCTAAACATTTGTGTTATAATTTGTTATCATTCTAGAATGAAAGAGGCATAATTTATATTTATTTCCAAATTTTTTATGGTTGTTACAAGATCAGTCAAATCTATTGAACCCATACAGAGATTTGTTAGTAAAAATAACAGATAAAATATAAAGTTTTTTTCTTAAGAAATATTTGATAACTATCTGGACATTATAAAGATTTTTCATATGAAATTTGAAATTTTCTGATGCATAAAAGTACTTGTAATCTTAAAATGGAAATTACTTTGCATATTGGATAGGCAACATGTGAAAAGAAAAAAAAAAGCATGAGAAAAACATTGCTTGACAAACCTTAAGACTTAATACAAAAAATTTTATGTTTTGTGTATGAAAGCATTGTAATGTTTACTGATAATTTGCCAAATTTTGTTAACATATGCTTACTGATTTAAAAGTTATAGCGTGAAAACTATAACAAGCACAAAATGGTTACGAGGTCAGTCCAAGAGACCGAGCCCAGAGTTAAGAGACTGATCAATCACTGCCCCAAGATCCCTTTCTTTCTTAACACTATTAAAGTCATTCCCATCCATATTATACTTATAATTCAAATTATGATAACCCACATGCATTATCTTGCATTTATTATAATTCAGACCCATCTGCTATTTATTCACCTAATTAGCTAAATGGTCTAACTAGAGCACTGAC